AAGGGAGAGGAGGATGGAGGGGGGGAGGGGGGAGGGGGGAGGGGAGGAGAAGAGGAGGTGGGGGAAAGGGAGAGGAGGCTGGGAGGGGGGAGGTGGGGAGGGGAGGAGAAGAGGAGGTGGGGGAAAGGGAGAGGAGGCTGGAGGGGGGGAGGGGGGAGGTGGGAGGTGGGGAGGGGAGGAGGTGGGGGAAAGGGAGAGGAGGCTGGGAGGGGGGAGGGGGGAGGGGGGAGGGGGGAGAAGAGGAGGTGGGGGAAAGGGAGAGGAGGCTGGGAGGGGGGAGGGGGAGGTGAAGGAGGTGGGGAGGAGTTGGGGGAGGGTGGAAGAGGAGGAAGTGGGGGAGGGTAGGAAAGGAGGAGGAGGTGGGGGAGGTGGGAAGGGAGGATAAAAGGTGGTAGGGGAAGAGTGGAAGGGGAGGAGGTGGGGGAGAGGGAGGTGGGGAAAGGGAAGGAATAGGGGCTGGGGAAGGTGGGGGAAGGGATAAGGAGAAACTGAAAGAGAATGGAAGGTAGGGGGGGGGAAGGAATTGGGAAGAGAAGAAGGAGGGGAGAAGGGAGGAAGAGAAGTAGGGAAGGGAAGATAAAAAGGGGTGAAGGGGGGGGAGGGGAGGGGGAGGGATAAGTGAAAGGGTAGGGTTAATGAGGGAAGGGGGGGAGGAAGGGGGGGGGAGGAAGGGGGGCAGAGGACGAAAAGAGGGAGGGGGGAGGAGGACAAGAGGGGGGGAGGGAACGGAGAAGGGGTTCATGAAGGAGGGGGGGGAGGGAGGGAGGGGGGGAGGAGGGGGCGGAGAGGGAGAAGGAAGAAATAGGTAGATAGAAAGAGATAGATAAAAAGATAGAGAGAGAGAGAGAGAGAGAGAGAGAGGTAGATAGATAGAAAGAGATAGATAGATAGATAGATAGATAGAGAAAGAGATAGATAGTTAGATAGATAGAAAGAGAGAAGGAAAGAGAGAGAGAGAAAGAGACAGAGACGAGAAAGATCGTGAGAAACAAAAAGAAATAAAACGAATGAGAAAGTGAAAGAAAATATAAAAAGGAGAAACAAAAGAAAGCCACCAAAATATCGAAAGAAAACAAGAGAAAGCGGAAGAGAAAATAAGAAAAAGGAAGAAGTTAAAGACGCAAAAGAAAACAAAGAAAAAAATAAGAAAAGAAACAAGAGAAAACAAAATAAACAAAACAAAACAAAACAAGAAAAAAACAAATACGAAAGATAGATAGAGAGAGAGAGAGAAGACAAAGGAAAATAAAAATAAAGATAAAGAATAGTAGACGAGGAAAATAAATACAAAGACGGAGAACAGTAGACGAGGAAACCGCGCTGCAAGAAGACACAACTGCACCATTGAAGAGACGATCGAGTTGCAATGAACCTTTTGTGGTTTCATCGGAAAATTCTTTCGTAAAAGACATGTGTTGGGTGGGATTTCTCTCGCTCTCTCTCTTTCTCTTTCTCTCTTTTTACCTCTCTTTCTCTTTCTTTACTTCTCTCTCTCTTTCTCTCTCTCTCTTTTTACCTCTCTTTCTCTTTCTTTACTTCTCTCTCTCTCGCTCTCTCTTTACCTCTGTCTCTCTTTTTTTGCTTCTCTCTCTCTCGCTCTCTCTTTCTCCCTTTTCTTGACCTCTTTCTCTCGTTCTCTCTCTCTGTCTCTGTCTCATGTCTGTCTGTCTCGCATTCTTTATCTCTCTCTCTCTCTCTCTCTCTCTCTCTCTCTCTCTCTCTCTCTCTCCCCCTCTCTCTCTACCTATCAATCTATCTTTCTATCTAGAGAGAAAGATAAATAGATAGATAGAGAGGTAGATAGAGAAAGAGAGAGCGAGAGAGAGAGAAAAGTAAAGAAAGAGAGAGAGAAGTGAAGAGAGAAAGAGAGAGAGAGAGTAAGGGAGAGAGACAGAAATTAATAGAAAAAAACGAAAAAGAGAGAGAAAGAAAAAAATGAAAGAAAGGGGAGACGATAGAGAAAGGGAAGAAAGGGATGCAAATAATCCATTCTCGCTTTTTATTAATTAATTGACAAGATGATTAATTGATTCGTTTACCACAGAGAAGGAGAGCGAAGAGGGGGGGAGGGGGGGAAAGGGGAGGGGAGGAGGAGGAAGGGGAGGAGGAGGAGGGAGGAAGGGGAGGAGGAGGAGGAGGGAGGAAGGGGAGGAGGAGGAGGAGGAGTAAGGAGGAGGAGGAGGGAAGGGAGGAAGGGGAGGAGGAGGAGGAGGAGGGGGAGAAGGAGGAGGACGAGAAGGAAAATAAATGGAGTAGAAGGGAGAATATAAGGAATAGGGGGAAGGATGAGCAGAAAGAGAGGAGTAGGAAAGAGAGGATGGGGAAGAAAATGAGAGAGAGAGAAAGAAAAGAAAATATATAAATAAGAAAACGGGAATAGAAAGAATCCAATTAAAAAAAGTGAGAGAATAAAGTGATAAAGTCAAGTAAAATAATAAGAAAATACGAAAAGCAACAAAGCCAACAAACAAACAAACAAACAAAAAAATAATAAACAAGACTCCCCCAAACGTCACTTTCTCGTCACGTTTTCTATTCCTTACTGCCATTTTTTTTTTATTTTTAGATATTTTTATTTTTTTCTATAAACGCTACACTAAAAAAAAAAAAAAAAATAGATACATAAAAATAACGGCAAACAATTATATTGTTTACCGTTCCTCTAATGATACTAAATGACACAAAAATAAGAAAGAAAAAGAAAAAATACAAGAAGAAAGAAAACATTTATTATCGTACACTAACATGTTTCGAAGACATGTAGGATGCGCGATAATCTTCATATTTATTATTTTTCTTTATCACATTTTTTTTATTGCATCTATCACTTTCTTCTGTCTTTCTTCCTCTTTTATTTCTTGTTTACTGCACTTTTGGATTGAGAAATGGGGTCATTCTTTATTTTGTCAAAGAAAGAAATACTTTTCATTGTATGAAAGGGATTTAGATAGATAGATAGATAGATAGATAGAGAGAGAGAGAGAGAGAAAGAGAGATAGATAGAGAAAAAGAGACAGAGGGAAAAAAACGAGACAAACAGACAGAACGAAAATGAGAAAACAAACACAAAACGTAAACAACAACAACAACAGCAAACAACAACAACAACAGCAAACAACAACAACAAAAAAAAATGAAAACGAATAAAAATAACAAACACAAAGAAAAACCAAAAGAAAAAAAGGCACAAAGGAAGACGTAAATAACAAGATGAAAGCGATTATCGCCGACAAACACATTCGTTTTTTTGCTTCTTGATGAATGTTCTTGCTCGGATTTATTATTGATGTTTATTTCAGTCTCTCTTTCGGAAGATGGATAGAGAAAGAGAGAGAGAGAGAAAGAGAGAGAGAGAGAAAGAGAGAGAGAGAGAGAGAGAGAGAGAGAGAGAGAGAGAGAGAGAGAGAGAGAGAGAGAGAGAGAGAGAGAGAGAGAGAGAGAGAGAGGAAGAGACAGACAGACAGAGAGCAAGAGAAAAGAGAAAGAGAAAGAAAGAAAGAAACAGAGAGAGAAGACAAAAGAAAAAAATGAAACAAAAATAAAAAAAGGAAAGGAAACGACAGAAGAAAAAACACAAACAAAACAAGCGAAAAGAAAGCCAGAAATTCCACAAACCAACCAAACAAACAAACAAAAACACCCCCCCCCTGCTTCCGAAGCCCCCGAAAGACTGGCCGATAGAGTCAATTGAGCGGCGTGCTTGCAACAAGCAATTCGTTATCAATAGCAGTAGCAATAAAATCTGTTGACAGTACCGTATTTTTATTTATATTTCTATTTTCATTATCAAAAGGGAGAGAGGGAAAGAGAAAGAGAAAAAAGAGAGAATGAAAGAAAGATAGAGAGAAAGAAAGAGAAAGAGAAAAAGAGAGAGTGAAAGAAAGAGAGAGAAAAAGAAAGAGAGAGAGAAAGAGATGATAATGTATAAAATCAAAGGAAAGTAAGAAAACAGAGGAAGTGTTGATAATGCTGGTGTGTGTGTGTGTGTGTGTGTGTGTGTGTGTGTGTGTGTGTGTGTGTGTGTGTGTGTGCGTGCGTGTGTGTGTGCGTGCGCGCGTGCGTACGTGTGTGTGTGTGTGTGTGTGTGTGTGTGTGTGTGTGTGTGTGTGTGTGTGTGTGTGTGTGTGTGTGTGTGTGTGTGTGTGTATGTGTGTGTGTATGCGTGTGTGTGTGTGTGTTATCACTTTCTCCTTTTCGTGATAGCCAAGATAAATTTAAATATGACTTTAAAGATAACAAAAAATGTTACGAAAAAAATATTCAGTTTCTGACTGAAATTCCGAATAGTTGACAGTTCGGAATTTTCTGTTATCATTTTAGTTATTTCAAGGCTGCCACATATATATTTATTCCCCGTAGTGTTCTTTTTATATAGAAACACACGCACACATCACCATTAAAGTTATTTATGTGATTCTGGTATTCAGATACAAATCTTTTCTTCTTTTTTTTTCCCAAAATATCTGTGTTTTTCTGCCTCTCTGTGCATGTTCGATCGCCCTATCTGTCTATCAGTTCTATATATTTGTCTTAACTAATGATAGATGAATTGGACAATAATGTAAAAAGTACATCTAAAAGTACATATATAGTTACAAATAATGAGATATAATAACCTTTCTTATTTTCCAACAAACAAAGCCTAACAAACAACGCACCCACAAACACCAATGTATCCACTAACAAAATGTATCAACAAACAATAATCCCCACAAACAAACAAGCAAACACGCCCACAAACAAAACAAAACAACAAAGCCCACAAACAAAAACAAACAAACACACCCACAAACAAACAAAAACACCCACAAACAAAATCAAACAAAAAAACACCCACAAACAAAAACAAAAACACCCACAAACAAAACAAAAACAAACACATCCACAAACAAAAACAAAACCAAACAAAACCCACTCCCCACAAACAATATCAACCCCCACCCCACCCCCCCACACCCCACACCCGAGGCCTAACCGCTCCTTCTCCCTCCCCCCCACAG